AATTTCAGAGCTAATTTTTTAATATTATTTTACCGTAAGAAAATGAACGTACAGATAATAAAATAGGCCAACACAAATAATTACTGACCTTAATTATTAAAATATTTATTGGAAGAATGTGATTATCGTCGCCATCATGAGATCACCATGAGATATCTTCATATCTCTCTGTTCATTCTGGCATACCACAAGGATCAATTCTAGGACCTACTATGTTCATTGTTTATATAAATGATTTAACTTCTGCATTAAGTGATGATGATGTTAAATCTTATATGTATGCTGGTGATTTAGCTGTCCAGATAAATTGTAAATGTTCTTCCTTAATTAAAAATCTTCTACATACTACTAACTCTGTAATCGAGGACTGGACTGCTGCCAATTCATTGTGTATAAACAGTAGCAAAACACAGAATATTGAATTTAGTTTATCAAGTACCTGTTTATATAGTGTTAAGTATTTGGGAGTACAGCCTAACATTAAGTGGGATTCTTAGATTGATATGATTTGTAAAAAAGTTGCCAAGGGTACATAGAAAACTTAAACCTTCATAGTATAGATGTGTTAAAATCCATTTATTTTGCCCACATTCAAAGTAATATGTCTTATAGTGTTGTTGTGTGGGGGTCATTCTGGTAGTATTAAAACGCCGCAATTGTTGCAAAAGAAAGCTCTTAGAGCAATATTCGATGTTGACAATGAAACACATTGTAAGCCATTATTCAAGAAACTTGGAATTTTAACTGTCACTTCTCTGTACATTTTAGATTGTTTATTGTATAGTAAAAATAATATTAGAGAGTTCCCTACAAATGATTCGGTTCATAACCATTTTACCAGACAAAACTCTTTTCTCCGTCCAAACCAATGTAATTTTATGACCACAATCAATAACTTGAGTGAATTTGGCAAAAAATTGTATAATATTTTACCTGCTCACGTTAAATGTCTTGAAATAAAACAATTTAAATTTACTATTAGAAAGATTTTGTGTGATTTATGTGTGTATAAGGTCAAAGTATTTGTAGAACATATTAAGTAGGTTAATGGATATACTGTGATGACAACTGTATGACGTTGCTATACATGTATTTATAATATTGATGGCAATAAATGGATTTTATTTGATGAAGTTATGACTGAAGTTCCTGGTAATAGAATGGAAAATGTATTTGCACCATATTAGCAACCGCTTAATATAAGGTTTCGAACCTAAAGGGTAATTTTTAAGTTTTTAGCTTCATTTAACCTTTTTAACTTAAGTCCTTTTTAGGTCTAGGGTAAAAATATCAGCTTGAGTTTATGACATAAGGTGTTATTTTTAGATTTGTACACTGATTTAAATTCGCTAAAATAGTTATTTCGATTAGAAAATAATGTAATTATAAATTGTTCAAATTCATTTTTGTTTATTAACTTGTTACATTAAAAATTTAGTACAATAAATACAACCTTTTACTATCACTTATTAATGCTTGTATTTAGCCTAACTAAAACATAAAAAATATTTAAATAATTTGAGCCTGAAATCCTTATCGTGTTGAAGTGTAGTACCTATCCGATGCACTTTACTTTTTTCTAACAATCAATACAGGCCAAATAATCAAGTATATAGGCTAAGTAATAGTGAGTGTTCGTTAAATAGTTTAAGAAGGCCAACAAACTATTTTAGGACCTAATTCATAAAAAACACACTACTCGAAATTTTTCGTTAGCTTAAAAAATGAATGGAGGTTATTGCGAAAAAAATGTAGTTTCTTGTTTCAGAGCGCAAGCGTCTTTTTACAATTTCGCTATTTTCGAAAATATCACTTTCTGCCCATAATAAGATAAGTGATGAAATATAATATTATTGAGAAGTTACTTTTGGCAAGCCATTTAGTACTTTTTATGATAAAATACAAAAATTGAAACTAATTTATTTACTAGTGTTATGAATAATCTGCTCATTTACTATCCTAATGTTCACCAATGTTTTAATTTAAAACCGTTTGCAATGTAATTAATAGTAGTGCTCGTATATAAAACAATTTGAATCCTAAACAGTAGTATACTAAATAACAATTTTGTAACGATTGATTATACAATTGAATAGAATTTACTTTACCATTGGTGTAAGCAAATTCCATACATGTGTTGTCCACAATTATCAAACCTAATATACGTTAACTTCAAATTTACCCTCAAAAACAATTCTCTCTTTCTTAAAAATTTTAGAATATTTAATTAAAACCCGATAATGTACAATGTTGTTCTAGCTATGAAGAAAAAGTGAGTCAAAACGACTCGTCCTAAAGCAGTGGTTCAAATACCCGACACAAAGTTATACTAAAGTGTGTATTTCGAACAAATCTACCATCAAAGCCAGCAAGACGCCCGAAGTGTAAGCCAATATACATGAGGTGGTTGTGGGCAAAGGGTGGTGATGGGTGGGGGAGTTGAAGGTGTATTGGTTCAGCGTTTAACATCCAGGCGCAGGGGCGCAATATACAGACGCCCAGGGCGCATCCCCGTCATATCCGCGCCTTGGGCGTTAAAAGCTCGTTATGCCTTTATCGATACAAGCGCCTCAAGTGGTGCAATATCTAACCACTATCTCTCTCACATCCCAACCCATACTCGCTCCCTCGCATACACACCCTGGGTAAATAATCACTAAAGGGTTAGTAAGGACAAGTGGTGTTTTTGGCATAACATTAAAAAAGGATTAAATACATAATACAAGGTCATTAAATACATATTGGTGATTTTTGTTTGTTTTAAATTTTATTCAAAAGGGAGTTTGTGCACTTAATTCTCTCGATTTTCTATAGTTGGTGATTTCCAAACAAAACACTTATAAAGGATACATTTTATTTGTAAAAAAAAGTATAAGAATTGGATGGATCACATAAAAAATCGCCAAATCAATATTTAAATATAAATATTTTCTCACCAAGTTGACTAAAATTGCTAGGTGATTCTTTTTACAATTTATAGGTCCTTAATAGCTAATGGTAAATAATTTTAGCTTCAGATTATATTGAGCTATTTTTATTTTATTTTATTTATTTTCTTGACGGTAACAACCATTTACAGTAATAATAATATCTAATATGCTATAAAATTCTAAAAAAAAAAAAAAAAAAAACAATACGTATGAAAAATTTGATGGCAAACATTGGTGTGATGGTGTGTGATTGGTGTGTGCTATGCCAGGCACAAGAGATGACTTTGTAGGGTCCAAGACGTAGCGTCCCTTGAAGGGTGGAATGATGAGGGACCTAGTTCCCGTAAAACGAGGTGAGAATATTCATATTCATTTACGAGTAGTGGCTGTATCAGTGTTCTCAAGACTTAGAATGACAGAAAAACACCAATATTTTACAAGCTATGGCTACAAGTATGTAGACTGTAGGGTCTTCTGTTTAGTTGCTGCTAGACAACATACAAGTAGCTACATACAAGATACTACCATACCTGAGGAGGAGGGAATGCCAGCTTGAGGACTCATGAAGTTGAGCTTGGTAGAATGGTGGTAGCCTGACCTGCTAGACCTTGGTAGTGCTACATACAAGATACTACTATACCTGAGGAGGAGGGAATGCCAGCGTGAGGACGCATGAAGCTGAGCTTGGTAGAGTGGTGGTATCCTGACCTGCTAGACCTTGGTAGTGCTACATACAAGATACTACTATACCTGAGGAGGAGGGAATGCCAGCGTGAGGACTCATGAAGCTGAGTTTGGTAGAGTGGTGGTAGCCTGACCTGCTAGACCTTGGTAGTGCTACATACAAGATACTACCATACCTGAGGAGGAGGGAATGCCAGCGTGAGGACGCATGAAGCTGAGCTTGGTAGAGTGGTGGTATCCTGACCTGCTAGACCTTGGTAGTGCTACATACAAGATACTACTATACCTGAGGAGGAGGGAATGCCAGCGTGAGGACTCATGAAGCTGAGTTTGGTAGAGTGGTGGTAGCCTGACCTGCTAGATCTTGGTAGTGCTACATACAAGATACTACTATACCTGAGGAGGAGGGAATGCCAGCGTGAGGACGCATGAAGCTGAGTTTGGTAGAGTGGTGGTAGCCTGACCTACTAGACCTTGGTAGTGCTACATACAAGATACTACTATACCTGAGGAGGAGGGAATGCCAGCGTGAGGACGCATGAAGCTGAGCTTGGTAGAGTGGTGGTAGCCTGACCTGCTAGACCTTGGTAGTGCTACATACAAGATACTACTATACCTGAGGAGGAGGGAATGCCAGCGTGAGGACGCATGAAGCTGAGCTTGGTAGAGTGGTGGTAGCCTGACCTGCTAGACCTTGGTAGTGCTACATACAAGATACTACTATACCTGAGGAGGAGGGAATGCCAGCGTGAGGACGCATGAAGCTGAGCTTGGTAGAGTGGTGGTAGCCTGACCTGCTAGACCTTGGTAGTGCTACATACAAGATACTACTATACCTGAGGAGGAGGGAATGCCAGCGTGAGGACGCATGAAGCTGAGCTTGGTAGAGTGGTGGTATCCTGACCTGCTAGACCTTGGTAGTGCTACATACAAGATACTACTATACCTGAGGAGGAGGGAATGCCAGCGTGAGGACGCATGAAGCTGAGCTTGGTAGAGTGGTGGTAGCCTGACCTGCTAGACCTTGGTAGTGCTACATACAAGATACTACTATACCTGAGGAGGAGGGAATGCCAGCGTGAGGACGCATGAAGCTGAGCTTGGTAGAGTGGTGGTAGCCTGACCTGCTAGACCTTGGTAGTGCTACATACAAGATACTACTATACCTGAGGAGGAGGGAATGCCGGTGTGAGGACTCATGAAGTTGAGCTTGGTAGAGTGGTGGTAGCCTAACCTGCTAGACCTTGGTAGTGCTACATACAACATACTACTATACCTGAGGAGGAGGGAATGCCGGCGTGAGGACTCATGAAGTTGAGCTTGGTAGAGTAGTGGTAGCCTAACCTGCTAGACCTTGGTAGTGCTACATACAAGATACTACTATACCTGAGGAGGAGGGAATGCCAGCGTGAGGACTCATGAAGTTGAGCTTGGTAGAATGGTGGTATCCTGACATGAACAGGTCGCTCTGGTACTTGTAGGCCGCTGGGTCTGCTGTGGCGGGTTGCGTAGCTGCTGCTAGACCCTGGAAGTCGAACTTGTACGCGTACCTCTTGCCGTGCACCTTCGTCATTATGTTTTTGTCGTAGTAATACCTGCGGCACAGGAAATACACCATTAAAGTATACACCAATACACTCATATAACTATAATATCTGTTTGTCCTCTACTAGCGTCACATTCTTTACAGTTCCTCAGTTGAAATACACAGTTTAAATTACAGTTGAAATGCTCGTTTCTATTTGACACTTGAAATACATTCAACATGATTACGTAGAAGTTATCCCATGGGAGCTAGAAAGTAAAATAACTATGTGAATTTCTATCTGAATTTACTATGTAATTAACTATGTACATTCAACATATTCACACCAATCCAGTGTGTATTTATCCATAGACAAAATACGCATACTAATACGAGCTATATTAATCATATAGCTCCTACATCAAAATCTCAGTGTTACAAGCCTCAGGCACAATATTTACTGAAATGGAATAGTTTGATTGATGTTATTAGCACAGCTGTTCATTCATTGTTGCTTTACTTATAATGTGACAGCGAAAGAAAATCGGGGTGCTCTCACTGCCTCACCCTTCACTTAAACTTAAAGCATCAACATTTTCCAAGAAAGCCTCAAAATTACTAACTACAGAAAAAAGAAACCCATCACAAATCTAGAGTCAATTTATTGGCCCAATCGGCCAATTCTTTAAACAGTGGGTGTATTGTTTTGACATATTGACAATACGACACCTGTGGAGGGGTGAGGGGTGGCTCTGGCTGCCGTGTTAATTAAGAGAGATGATCACCAGAGGGGAGGGTTCTCCTTCATTTAGGGGCAATTACTTGACAATCAGGCCTTACGGGGCGACCTGCAGTTAATACAGACGCTGATCTCTAGTGTAAACAACCGTGGGTTCCCCTGGGGCGTGCGTGGATATAGACTTGTGTTATTGGGGCGCGGCCCTGTAGAACCTCTAAAAGCTGTACATTGACTGCTCGGATAAAACGGTGTTCTGAAAAGGTGTTGTTCTGAAAATTTTCTCTGAAAAATTGATCCTTCAATTTGGAAGGTTCTAGCTTAATTCCTATCGGGAATAATATTATAGATCCTGATGTCATTTTGTCACCCATGAGACGTTTCTGGATACAGATAAAAATTATGTTGGGTATCAATTGATGATTAAATCTATACTAACAAAATGTCGACGATAATACTTTTTTTGTCCAACATTAAAGCGTTTTTACATTACTTCAGGCTAGTACTAGAATATTGTGGCGTTATCACATGGGTAATATACATTGTTGATTGGAGGGGTTTGAACCCGGGACCTCGGGCACCGATGCCCCGCGTTCTCCAACTAGACTAGCTCGCTCTGACGATAATGGTAGGATACTAGTAACAAAACCGGGGCTAGGACATTTTCCAAACAAATGACACTGACTTTTAAACACATGAATGAAAAAAGGTTGGTTAGGTGCATTTTACACCAAAGTACATATTCTTGAGAGTGTAAAATAAAAAAATATGTTTTTATGTTAAAACGTGACTTAATTACAGTTCAGATATCGTTGCGCCTGGATCTTTCCGGATGCAATATGGCTACAGGGCTTAGGTTGCATCCCACGGCGCGGCGCTGAGATACATTGGACCTCTCCACTCTCCAGGAGACGACAAAATATAAGAGCCGTTACAGTAATAAACACAAAAGTGTGACCCAATCGGATAAAACATTGTTTTATTTTATTAGTCTTTAGTCGAAGTATTTTTTACATACTTAAAATGTAGTTTCATTGCGTTCCGTCCGGGGTGGAATGTTGAAAATTAGAGTGCCAATTTAAAGTGCTAATGAGAGACAATGTTGAGTGGTACAACAATTTTTCTTAAGAAGTCTCTACTCTAACCACTAGTACTTAAAGACAATTCCAAGTGAGTTGTACAGTCTAAATTATTTTGAAAGTGTATTCCTATTTAAAGCCAAAATCAATAGCTTATGCGTTGCATGGTTGAATTACAACCTTCGTAGTAAACATTAACATTGTGATCTAAAAGAAGAAATTTACCACCTTAATCTATGATCCCTTTCTATGATTCCGATTAGACATACTCCATTATGTATTTATCATTCTAATGAATCAGCTAAATACATTATTAAGGTTAGTTATGTCTGATTTATGTACAGTGTTTTGTCTTGTTATTTAACGAACTAAAAAACAATTCCAATGAATTTTACATTCGATTCGTATTTTATTGCTTCTCATCTGGTATTTCATCGTCCTGTCCAAAAGAAAGACACTTCTAGCACACATTTATGGATCAAAACGACATCAACAATAATCACACTATGCTAAGATTAAATCAAACATGCTTAAGATTTTACAACAGGATGAGAGGCCTACTTGCACGGTTCAAACACTTACAACAGAAAATATTCTATGCTAGTTTGTTTCCCTTGTTAGGATTTTTTTAACCGAGAAGAATAAGTAAACTCCGTGGAGAATTTAAAGGCAGTGGCAAGCACTTGTGAGGGATTTTTAAATCCATACTGAAAAGCTAGTTGGCGTAATAATTTAGAAAATATAAAATACAGAAAATGTTTACTATCTATAAATATAACAAGTGTCAAGTAAGACAGAGATGAGAATGGAGCATTTACTTCATTAGTTAAAAAAAAAAAACAACTTAATCGCGTTCAACGCCTGTTACGGATCGAACGGAGCCATCACGCTACAGCAATCACAGCAAACTAATTTAATCCTGCATTGCGGAATTGTATTAGAATGATGAAAAGTGAATTGGGACAATTCTTGGGGGAGGGGAATGGGGAGGGTGTTACACTGATCGAACAGCAATCACCGCCGCCATTACCATCACGAGCAATGAGCAGGTAGTGAGCAACGTTCGTGCTCACAGACACTCCTCGCGGCCCAGACATCAAGGAAGTAAACAACACTTGGGCGTCGGCGAGTTGAGAAATTAGACTTTGATGTGAGGTATTGCTTGAAATATTTCCTAAGCCAATGCAGAAGGTAGTAACTAAATTACACGGCTTAAACGCATTCCCATGTAGATTTATCATATTTATGGATTAGCTGAAAACAATATGTAGGTTCTAGTTTAAGGATAAAGAAAATTTAATTTAACTATTTTTTAGTCTATCACGTTGTCAGAACGCTTCAAAAGCGTCGGATCTTTGCAATCAAAATTACATAAGGTTTTGATTTTTCCGTAGGAAACCAGAGCTTAAAATTACTTGGTTTGCTTTCCTTGTTAGTCCACTCCATGAGTTTTGAAAAGACGACGATTAACTTGGTTGGTCAATGGCTTATGGACGACAAACAATACCAAAACAGCCATGTGTTGGGTTCTTGCCTCGGTATATCAGATAAATCAGAACCGTCCTTTATTGTACCTGCTCACTACTTGCGTTGGAATCAATAATAAGTTCCATGAGGCCATGAGGATTTAAGGTAAAACAGGGCAGTAATTCGTAGACACATTTTTGAAGTATGTACGAGAAACAAGACATTTTTACAAACTTTGATTTGTTTTAGAGCGACCCTTCAAACTGTATCCACCAAATCATCGTACATACTCCAAATCAAACTCTCATCGCACAAACTCGATACGACTTTTCCAACTTAAACTCCGTCAGGCGTAACATGCTAGCAGATCTGTAAAGTTAGTTTCTGCAGAATAAAAAGCCGAGTGTTGGCGGGAGAGCTGATAACATTGAGTGATAAGCACCGGGGACGACGACGGAAGCCCTTCCCCGGCCCCGGAGACGGAGGTTTCCGATCTGGCCTCACCTCCTCTCCACTCACTCCCCCACCCCCTCCGACACGATGTTTGGGTCTGGGTTTGGTTTGGTGGTTTGAAAAACTGCTCGTTTGTTTTCAATGTTAAGTTAACAATAATTGACTGTGAATAGCTTAGGTTGATTTCACACCCTATTGAAAGAATTGAGACCTATAAATGAGTGTATGTGGGTGACGTTTGACTCCACTGTTGATGAGCAATTTATTCCCTTTTATTGTACGGTATGTTTGACCGATAGAGAATCGTCCTTTGGCTAAGTATATGAATAATAGTGTAAATGTACATTTATGATCGATTTAAACAAGTTGAAAATGGTTAAAATGACAAGAAATAAAAGTAGACAAAAGCTCCCTCTTGGATTACATAAACCGGTAGGACTAACCTTAAATATTCTTAAGGATAAACAATTTACCAGTGAGTAATATGTATACGATGAACAACTTTTAAAAATTGATACAATTTATTATCTTATTTTTTTTAAATTTTAATGGAATTCTTTTGTTATAAAATTCGCATTGATTCATAGCCCATATAAAATATAAAATGCATAGTTCGTCACAGAAAGCAAAAAAATATAAAATTCAAAATAAAACCTCTAAACCATAGTAAAAGGAACCCCCAATAATACTACGAGCTGCAAACATTTGAAAACTATTTACCATGATTATGTTATAAGTCAGTAGCATAACTCTGAACAGCAAAAATATAAGATTTCCTAATTCGGTGGAGATGGTGAAAACAATACTACGTCAAGAAATAGGTGACAGCAAAGTTACCTAAGTGCCCTACTGAGCTTGTCGTAGTTCATGTTGGGTTTAGACTTCCTCTCACCCCACCGCCTCGCCACCTCGTCCGGGTCCGTGAGCTTGAACTCGCCGTTGGTGCCTTCCCAGGTGATACAGTTGGCGTTGGTGGAGTCTGAGAGGAGCTCCAGGAGGAACTGCCACAGCTGTATCTGTCCGGAGCCTATGACAGGAAGACAGGAAAATGTAGCAGAGTGTTGAAAACAATGCATCCTTAAAAATAATGAGGATAGAATCTTAAAATACAATGATTTTGCTCATAGTAGGTAATATTTTTTATTTGTTGGTGACTAACAAATATTAATATTAGTAAATGGCATTTAATATAGCTGGTTGCTTAGAGTGACAGCAGAAAAAGAAGGTAGTCGGTAAATCCTGAAAAAGTCAATAGCTTTTTGATGGTTCAACACTGTGTCCGCCTGTTATTGACGTTTGCTTAGTAATCTTACTGAAGATACTGGTGATATTAGTCAGTAACAAATTCAAACATATCTAACTCCATGCAGATTAAAAGTAATGAGGATTATCTATCTATCTATCTATCTATACTATTATAAAGAAGAGGTGGTGTCTGTGTGTGTGTTTGTATGAGCTAATCTCAAAAACTACTGAACCTATTGGGCTCAAATTGCACACAGATGAAGCTACAGTTCCGAGGATACATATAGAACTATTCCCGCTTCAATATTGTCCTAGGGCTCTGCCCCGTGGGCTTTCAAAAATCGGAGGTGAGAGATTTCAAAGTAAATTTTGATTGATGGTATCCATGACAACAAAGAACAAACCTACAAAGTTTAAAAATGTAAACAAGCAGTACTAACTGTCAAATTAATTTTGATTTCACAATTCCATACAGCTGGTTCAAACATTCATTTAAATACTGCATGAATATTAGAACAGAGAGGGTAAGGATCATATTTAAAATAATGATGTCACTATCCTGAATGTAAACATTATTTAACAATTGTCCTAGGGCTCTGCCCCGTGGGCTTTCAAAAATCGGAGGTGAGAGATTTCAAAGTAAATTTTGATTGATGGTATCCATGACAACAAAGAACAAACCTACAAAGTTTAAAAATGTAAACAAGCAGTACTAACTGTCAAATTAATTTTGATTTCACAATTCCATACAGCTGGTTCAAACATTCATTTAAATACTGCATGAATATTAGAACAGAGAGGGTAAGGATCATATTTAAAATAATGATGTCACTATCCTGAATGTAAACATTATTTAACATTACTTAAATTGAGCTGTCAAACCATACACTAATGTCATTTCATTATAATAGGATTCTTTCAGTTACATAATTTGTTTATTTTTAAACTGCAATAAGCATTTTATACTTATATGCCAACCCCGTACGAAGGACGGGTACTCTGCTAGTAACTCTATATGACCAGCTGTGTTCAGCATCGAACCATCAAAATCCCTTCTCACAATTGAACGAACCACTGTAAACGTTTTACTACCAAATATTCTGCTTGAATGTGCAGCATTTCTGCTAAGAATTATCATATACTTTCATACTAAAGGAGTTCTATCATCATGGACAATCTGTAGTAATTTTATTTCTAAGAGACCCCAGTAGGTGAATAAGCCCCACAAGGCTTCTATATTAGAATGAAATTGAAATAAAAATTATTTACAATTTGTTCTCCTTTTAGTTTGCTTTAGTTAAAAAGTTACTGTGTACGTCTAAATTCAGTTATCTACAGGAGTACACTATATTGTAGGCTCAATATTGCGAAAGGTTCATTAACTAGCTACAACCTTAATGGAAATGGGATGCATACTTCAATCCATGGTTAAATAAGTCTCGTATACCATAATCTAATTTAAACCGTTTCTGCAACAGCCGACATTTTGTAAGTTAAGTTTGTAAACTGCAGCCTACCCCGTGTGAAGGCATTACCTGTGAACTCACCTGAGCTGGCCAATCTGCTGCTTGTAGGCCCGAACATCTGGTAAGGGTCTGCAACACAGGCATAGTCTGGTATTAATTAAACCTGTCCAAATATCACTCGTAATCGATTGGAAAATCTTTTCGTAATCATGAATCATACACCATGTAATGCGCCTTCCAAACCCTGCTGCAATTTGAGCGCAGTTGTCATATTGCGTTCAGAAATTCGCGGTGGTTGCGTGTTTCCTCCATTCTTTAGGATAGTAACATCATTTATTATATGGTAACATAATTAAGACGTACAAGTACGTTAGCATAGTGGAGTCAGTCTTCCCTCCACTGTCTTGTAACTCTGATGCTAATAAGTATTCTTATGGTTTTTTAATGTTAAACGAAAATACTATAGAAAGCAACTACAACTCGCCAGCATGCAAGAGGTGGATCAAAAGTACATTCAAGAATCATTGTTTCGGAGTACAAAAAGGAATCTACAATATCTGGATGAAGGTTACAATATTTTTCGGCTTAAAGATTTCTCAGATAAATTTCAAGACAACTGGATGGATAAACCACGACTTTCACCTCCATATCCACCTCCATCTCCTAACAACTATACAACTCGAAACAATATGCTATATATATCCTATAGATATTTTGGTGTGTAAGAAACTGACAATTAAAACTAGTAATGATGAACGGTAATTGTTATAGCCTAAGAGACACTTTTTAAGTGTACACTATTGATTATTGGGAAATTTTAAGTACAAAGAAATAGTTTTATTTTCTGATCGATTGAGTTAGACAATTACTTTACTTTTTTCAAATTGACATTCTTCTCTAATACATCCTAGCACGTCTTGTGACAGGAGGCAATTTGATAAATAAACCTTAACATTACTAATAAAATAAATTACATAATTTTTATAAAGATTAGTTTAGATTTTCTAAATGAGATCAGATTAAGTTTATCTGACTTATCAGATAAAAACCCAAAACCTGAATGTGTTGTTATTTTGCTAGTTTTATTGGTTATTAGATTTGTATGCTCTTTTAATTTACTTCCTTCGTTTGTTTTATTCGTATTGTTTTTGTTCTGGTTGTATGTCCCTTATCATTTTGTTTAGTTTTTATCTATTTTTGTACGTTTCATAGGCGGTGTTGAGGTTGGATGTGTCTGGATGCGTTTCTTGAAGAAAGAGGGAAGGAGAAAGGGAGAGAGGGTCGAAGGGCGGCTAGATTACAACCATTAACTCATAATTCTCACGTTACGCCCCCTCCCCCATTCTCCGCCCTTTGTAATTAATAGAGCTTAGACGAGCGTAACTACAAATACACCGTCCCTAGGGCCAACTTGCACACCCCTCGCTTAATCATTTTATAAATGGTTTCTTAAACGTTCTATTAGTTTTCATTGTAGGTTGTTTCATTATTTCGTTTGTTATCTGGTTGATTGTAGTTTCATTCATGACATGATGTTGACAAGCTATATGGTCAATACGCTGGAGCAGAATGTATTGTAGTGTGTTTTTACCGTGTTTTAGTATTACAGTACAATATAATGTAAACTACATAGTTTAGAAATGGAATCGTTTTAAATTTTGGCTGTACATAATTTTAGAAATTCCATTGCTGTGTTAAAGTTGTCATAAAAAATCGTAGTTTAATTGAGCATTCAACAGAGTTAGCTGATGTTATGATAACTGATTTTTATTGTATACACCAACACTTTGACCAAGCCAGACTGAAAGGTCAACTTATATTAAACCATTGCACCTTTTATATAGTATGTAATATCATAGTATACAAAAAAAAAAAAAAAAAAAAAAAAAAACTGAGAGAGAAAATAATTATTTTGACCATAGCATACTCTGTAAGGAGCTGGTGTACTACATCTGGCTATTGCTGGCTACAGCTGGTAAATTATCCCTCAAAGTCAATATTTAAAAATAAAAATAAAACAGAATACAAAATAACTTGTAGTTGTATCTTGTGTCATCGCAAAGGTTAGCTTGTCACTTTGACATGACTGTATTAAGATTATTATTTTTAAACAAAAGAGGTACATACTAATAATAACTTTTTTCGTCACCCTCTTCATAAACTAGACAAAATCGTCATCAGCTGATCAATAATAATATAATATGTGATATAGAAACATTTGATCTAAGGTATAGTTTGCGATACATTGTGGGGAAAATGAAAATCTACCTAGTTATCAAAGTAAAATTAGCAACATCTATAGAGAGTGCTTTATAATATGAAACGACAATTGTGAGAGAGCAGCGAGGCTTTAAACATCATTGTAACTAGGGGATATGTGACAAACTGCGTCCCTACACGCACACGTACCTCCACACATACATACATACACACGCACACACACGGCGGTGCGCGCACGCGGGGTTAAATCAGTTGACCGCATCGGTGAGGGTGCATAAATTACAGGGTGGCAGACAGGTAGTGACCACAGTAATGCCAACGTTTACACAGCAAACGCCACCCTCCAGTAGTACCAACATAGCGAGCATAAACTGCAACAATCACAGGTCAGCTGATTGCTGTTGTGACTATGATGGAGAAACATTACTCGTAACACTGCTTTTGGTTGGAGAAGAAAAAACAAGCCAATTATATAAGGACATTTTTAAGTTAAATATTTAGGTTCTTGTTTCTTGGATTGCTCTCCGTAAATGTAATTTGCCCCTGAACGCCAGGTAAAATACATATGTTCAGGGGCACTCATGTATAGAGTCGACATTGCATTCACATAAGACTAGAATTTATGCTTCCACGGTCAAAGCGGTCTGTTGTACTTCGTGGGCCGCGTCGTTCAACTCAAACATGGCTCGAGATGACCACGCTGGAGATGATTAATTAATTATGACATACAACAAATGATGTCGCTGGATAGTAACAAGACGGATGTTTAAACTATTCCCTTATCAACAAACTTAAGAAAAACCGTTGCGTTAAAACACACCCAAAAATGATGAATTTTCTGCATTGCATCCGAAACGTCTCGTATTTAAGCCACGAACGACGCGAACGTGGTCATCTCAAGAAGACCATCATTCTACATTCGTTTCCTTGGTAAACTTAGATCCAGTTTCAGAATACAAATGAAAGTAGTTAAATTGGTTGGGCCTCTGACAGAGTGCGCTGCTGCCAATAACAGCTTCTGTCTTTAAAAGCAAAGTTTTTAACCAATCCATAACTGAAAGGTCAACAACTTATTGTGAAAATAGCTTTTTCAAATAAACTATTATAGTCAAAATAAGGGAGTATATGTAGATTTGAGAGCAGCTTACTGTGCGAGAAGCTTATTCAACTATTTTGAACATGTATACAAAATGGATATTGTAGATGGGATTTCTACTCTGCTACCTAAAGATGAACTATTTCTTTAGGCATTTGAGAGATAATTTTGCTAACTCAAGATGGGGGCTTTGTGCTAACTATGCTAAGGTTTAATCCTGAGACAAAACAGGAGCTACAGGTCCGAAATAAAGCAGTCTTAGTAAAACAGAGAATAGTCCTACAAAATTGGTCTCAGATGACCATAAAATTACAATTTTAATCCAATTGGTTTTGGCTAAATAAACAGGTTATCTTCGTCAGTAACGTAGAAGCTCACGCAGCCTACGTTTTTTTTTTTTTTTTTTTTTTGTTAGAAAACTAAACATAGTTGCGCACTTATTTTTGCTATGTCGGAGTGATGTAAAAAAAAAATACTATCAATAAAATACACATGGTTATTATTACAAAACCTAAAACGGTCTGAATAATCCCGAAAATACAACAAAAAATGTCATATGGGCAAAATAACAAGTGGCAAATTCACGTGAATACTTTCAAAAACAACCCCACCACGATGAAAACGATCGTCCCAGTTGTTTCACGCGTGTAAAGTCCCGGATTGTTTGTGAGGGGGCGAGGGGGGGGGGCTGATCGCGGAGTGATTTTTATTTTTGAAACAAACGAACGTCCGTCGTTATGGGGACTGTTGACCTAAGGCGATCACAGTTATTATAGGCTTTGGTTTGATGAGTGGAACTCGCGCACCACCGAGTTACAATTGGATTCCGAACTCAAAGGCGCGCTCAAAGGCTGGGGAGCCAGTCTTGATTGTGCCCAAATTTCATTTGCTCCCCCCATCACCGGTGCGCTTGATTGGCAAAATTGTGGTGAAATGGCCAACTGAAAGTGGTCTATGGGTATGACCCAACTTTTATCCGTCGTCTGCTGATTTTTAAGATGAAAAAGTTTAAATGAAATTTAGTGGAAAGAGTTTTCAAAATATACAAAGTTTTAACCATCTAAAGGTAAGTTTGAAGTTCGTAGGGCTAATTATTTAAAACAGTAACACCTTTCACGTCCTTATCATAGTATCATCCATGATCATACATTTTCCCCTAAAAATAACTTCGCTATCGTTTTTCTATGATATACACATTGAACTAAAAGCGTTTTCGGGAGTTCTCTTTTAAGTTAAGTAAGTTCAGTTTACGATAATTAATTACAAACGAGGTAATATCACACACAATATTTTAATCATGTAGGTCGAGACTCAACCCTTTTCTTGAAAATACTCACAGATTCGATGTTTTTGAAAATTTAAATACTCTTAGAGTAAGCCAATTATATAGAAACGGAGTCCGCTAAACACCCAATTACCCAACAGCGTAACCATCTCTAATGACACTCTTAAAACATAGCTCTTTTTACAATTTCAAAATATTATTAGCCGTATAAAGTAATTTACTAGAGAACTACTAACTTATTATCATAATAATCCTTTCCCCACCCTTTCCTCCCCAACATTTTCCCAGATAGAATTTGACGAAAAAATATAGTTTTCTTTTATTATTTCCTTTATCCTAACATTGATTATACCCATATGCCCTATACCCTTTTACCGATAACCTATAACTTGATGTCCGGTTAGTAGATCATCAATATTTTATGACTACTGTAGTAAACTTGCAAACTCCCACCCCATTGTGTGGTAGGGGGGACCTCATAATATTCTACTTGTGATCTGGTTAATGGATGTGTATTTTAACGTGATGCGAAGTGATGACGAAGAACAGTATGTCTTTATAAAAAAAACCCAGATTAATATACGCTCACTGTTATATTTGTTCACTGTCAAAGCTGTAACATGAATTTGCAAGTTAATTAAAGTATCAATAATTTTTTTAATGTTGGTTGAGGCGATAAAAGTTTTTTTAGAATAAAAAAGATCACCATCAAAGTAGACATGCTATTTAGGAAATACCACAATGTCAATTGATTGGTTACTCAACTAAGGACAAAATGAAAATATAGACAAACTAAATATACATATCTGTTTATCTCAATAACATAATAATGTATATTTTCCCCATACAATGAAATAAAAGCTAGGTGTGAATTATATGGGTAAAAAATATTTAAAACTCTAAACGAAGCTTTGTCAGCAGTTAAACCTTATTCAATAGTTCAATAGTTTTTAATAGAGAAATAAAGCCTCATAATATGAAATAAACACGAATGTGTATAATTTAATCTAAAAGATTATCTAAGTGCATTACTTTATGGTTCCAGATTCTGGTTCGTGTCGCCCAGACTGCTATAAGGCGGCAACACCCTTCAGCCACTATCAAATCACGCTCCAAGTACTCATAAAGCACTTGAATCGTGTTGTGTGCGAGGTTGTAACTGTCCCGACCACACGCACACCGAGCATTGTGGGTCGTCATCACTATTGTGACTTGGGTCGTTATCACTACCTTTTTGGTCGTTGTCATTACATGCTTGGTTCTTGTCATTTTATGCTCAGTCGTTGGCATTAAATGCTCGGTCGTTGTCATTACATGCGCGGTTGTTGGCATTACATGATCAGTCGTTGTCATTACATGCTCGGTCGTTGTCATTCCATGCTCTGTCATTGTCATATTGTCTAAATTCATTGTCTAAAATCATTGTCTAAATGTTCAGTTGTTGTCATTACATGCTCGGTTCTCGTGATTACATGCTTGGTTGTTGTAATTTCATGTTCAGCCGTTGGCATTGAATGCTCGGTCAACCATTGCAAGTTGGTGGTTGTGGCTACCTTACGACTACGTGTGTGAAACAATCTCATTATTTCTTGGTCGTTGTTACGCTTTCAGCCATGCTTATTACGTTATTAACGTGATTCATTGAAACTACTGTATTTCTCGTTGCGGTACCACCATACCTATATACTAAATACCCCCGTCGCAGCAAACCTGCCGTCTAAGCGAATTTCCATTTGGCTGAATTGATTTTCAATTGATCTATTTAAATAACATTAGGTTTAACGAGTACCTAGGTTTGCTGCTACAAGGAAACTAATAAAGTGTGTGTTTTAAGTAAAATAATTATTGCTTAGTATAAAATGAATATATTTGCCAAGTTTGATCAAAAGATATCCATAAACAAGCAAACTACAACATTTTACAATATTCTCCATAAGAATAACATGGGAATTTTAAATTTAAATTTTTTTTAGTTTTCTCCGTAACCAATAACCGTACAAAAACACTTTGATATACTGAATTGTTTGTTTTTTTAAGCTCTTTAAGAAGGTTTAGAGAAAAATTGGAAAATTTTGTGTTTTGAGGGTCAAAAGTGAGAAAAACCAATTTTTACCCCATAAACCCCCCCATAAAATCCTGTTCCCATGGTCCGATCATGCTGGATCGCGAACTCATTCAAGTTTATCCCGCCTTACACCTTCAAACCAAATTTCATCAAAATCGGATAAAAATTACCCAAGTTATCGTGTTCACGGACACATATATATATAAATCTATATATATATATATATATATATATATATATATATACATATATAAAAATTTGAACGAATGGTGTTTTTGGCCTCTGGGGACATCAAAATGAAAAAGTAAATCGGTCCCGGGCCTAAGTCTTACCATGAGACCTACGGTAATAGCTACTTCCCTATAGGGAAATTCGCTAAAAATATTGCAAGTTCCGATTCAATAGTCCTACTGTGGTCAGCACTGTTTTAATAATTATTTCTAATCCAGTTAAGTACATCTAATCTGTGTCTTTGGGTCTATATTGTTCTATTACCCGTAGTTTGAAGTTTATAGTCTAAAAATAGCTATCAAAACTTATAAAATTAACATAAATCAAATCGAATAGATCAAACTTTAATTATATACATCAGTGAGTGTACATGTGCTATATGTGCAACTGATTGTTATGTAATGAACAGCGGACTAATGGTAACTAACGCGTGGCTCGGGGTGGTGTAATGCAATGTAGGGCGTATTAACTGTTGATTGTAGCAGCTAGCAGCCGAGATTGCTGCCCCCGGCGCCAATAGTGCTGATTAGCCGCTGTTTGTAGCTATTGTCCGCCTCCGCTAGGGGCGCCACCTGCTAGCTACAGTGTATGACTGGCAATTGGAACAAATTACAAGGGTGACGAGTGTTTAGGCTAAATTAAAAATGAAATACCGCTGATGCGTTAAGATGTTATTAGTTTAACTACAAATGATGAAAATAAAACTAATTTGGAGAAGATTTTCAAAATTGGTCACTGGAAGCCTAAGTATTTTCCTTGTCAGTAAAGTTATTCATCAAAATTGGTAGCCTGATTCATCATGCATTGTTTACTCTTTTTAAATGTCCCTTTATATAATTGTTTTCACCAATACCCTGTAGTGTTTCCAAACAAATACAACTCATAACACATCTGTTCAGTCTTGAATATTTAACGCGGAAGACATCTTGAAGCGTTGAATCGATTTAGAGTAAGAGGTGTCAAAGAAATCCGATAAACGATGAATATTGTTATAAAGTTATGAATATAATTGTCTGGATATAAAAGTACCCAGTGGTTATAGCAACGACCCCGTTGGGTTATAGTGACAGCCTTCAAAGATTCGACACTAAGTGGAATTGGTTCTGAGCCCAGATGCTATTTTGATTCGGGCAATCATTTAATGATGCTACATAACAAAAGGTCGATGCTAGGTAGTAACAAGAAGAGAGATTAAACTGTCGTCCCCTCATAAAAACCCTTTAAGTAGGCCAATTGTGTTGAAAACACTTACTAAAAATGAATATCACATTATTTGATTTACTTTAGTGATATTTATTTAAATAATTTATCAGTATATTTTCAAATCAAATTATTAGTACTAGAAACTGATAAAATTAAAGCTGTATGTACTGTAGGGGTTTCAAAATGTTTTGAAGTGTTAAAAGATTATAATTCTTCAATAACTTGTTGACTTGATATTTTAATTTATAACGTAGTTTCCCAAGTCTTGGCATTCTCAGCGCCGTGAAACGCAACCCGAACACTGTAGCCACATTGCGTTCGAGGATTTCCAGGCGTAGCACGTATCTCAGATGTCGATGGGTGACGTTTAACTATATATCCAAATTTTACACGATATTATTTGTCTAGGTGTTTTACCAGCCAATTGACTGTTATATCAAAGGAACGGTCCAACCCCCGGTCTGTCACATTATCATAAGTCGAACTGTGATTAGATAGTATCACTGATATATTTCCAAAGGGAATTGGTGTCTGGGTCCAAAATTTTAAATATGAGACCCAACCATCGGAACATATTTTAGCGGATTCATTAGCCAGGACTGTTCATTAAACCATTTCAAAGGCAGCTCGGCCCAGATTTAATCCATAAAAAGCTACTGAGAATTCCCCGGATCAAACCGATGATCCTTGGATTGCTCGGTTAATACTATAACACCCAACTATGAATAATACTCTCATACTGGTTGCAGCAGTAGCAGTTCTCGGTGTGGTTTTTATTTTGCAATCTTCCACTTCAGGTTTAGTTTAAATACCTAATAGCCCTATGAGATTTTAGATACTTTTTCACCTGAGGAGGAAGCAGAATATAGATCCTGAGGCGTTGCGAAAACTGTTCTTACTAAACGTAATGAATGTATGAAAAAAACATACATTATGTACATTATATGTATGTACAATATGTACATTATGTGTGTTCAAACATACTGTTATGTTTGAAAAAATCCTCAAAAAGTGTACTAGTTGAATTCGTCCACTCATTCAATCATAGAACCCACATACTTCTAACTCCTATTTCATTGCGGCTGCCAAAGGGGAAGCGTATACTTGCAGTGATTTGTGTTCCAGTCTACCCCATAACACAACACATCGGCCACAAACAATAGCACTAGGATCAGCGTTAGTTCCGCTAAATCAATTGATGACTTCCACGAAACCGTAAACAGCTAATGGAGTATCATGGGGGTGCGCGGCGAATCTGAGTGCATCGAGTGTCGAGTGCTGAGTGCGACAGAGACGGGTGGATAAACAGCTTCCTTCTCTGTCTAGTGGTCACGTGGCTACGTCACGAAGTCACGTGATCACGTCCGTCACGGTCACGCACCGGTTGACTTCCACCCTTGACTCGGAGTGTAGTGAACGAGTAACGAGGGTGGAAGTTACTGCTCAACGCAACTTTTGTAACGAATACCTAAATCAATATCGTTATCTGTTTCATATTAATGTTTTTAGTTTTCTTGTATTTCGTCTCATTGTTAAGTGTTATAAACTAAAAAGTGTTGCCATAATTTTTCCTGCATAAATAAAGGTGCTCTTGCTTGGTCATTAAATAGGACGAAGCGACAAAATGGTCCAATTTCATTAGTTGTTCTCTATTGTACTCTTACTTTTTATTTACTGTGTGTAAGTTTTATGCTATGACGTGTAAATTGATTAGTCTGAGTGTAAAGTGTGATGCATGTTCCTATATTTCTGTAAACAAATAAGGTATTGTTATTTAATTTAATTTAAATTGAGTTTACCAGTGATTAACATGGACAATTTCTGCTGCTACTTACCAACCTTCAACAGTGTTCATATGTATAACTCCATTAATACTACAAGTGTTATGCACTTTTAATGTGTATCTCAGTGAATGTCATGTCAAGTTACCTGGTTGTCTGAGATGACTGTGAGGGTCGAGTGAGGACTTCGCAACCGCCAGGGAATTGCCATATCCTGCAACAATAGTGACATTAAGTACACACCCTACAGTAAAACAACTCACGTTTAAAAATGTATACAAGTTAATGAAAATCTCGTGGGAATGAGTGAGAATTAATTGGTCGGGGTTTTGTAGCTCTATCATCGGTCTAGGCTGTAAAGCTACTTTAGTAAGCTATTCTGCAGCAAAACAGCCGTTAAAATACATTAATTGCTGGTATAAAGTAGTTATTTTACTCCATAGGGAGTAAACAGCCTTTATAGTCCTTAGGGGAAAAAATAAGCGATTGTAAACGGTTGAAAATGTTGACAGTAGCAATGGCATGGATCGTAATTATTTAATGATTGATTTATAAGGTAAGATTTTGTTGCATTCTTTTTAATAGTTCAGCATATCGATGGTCTATTGTACAGTAACACACCCGCAATAGACGAAATGATTGATTCACTTACTAAACAACTGCTTATTTACATGAGCAGAATTGAACACAAGCTGGAAGTCGTATTGAGAGGTTATCGTTACATGAAATGTATTTTCGTTTTCTAACTTATTTTGTTAATTGATGTTGCAATATATCGACAAATATAGTTCATCACACGGGCAAAAAGTGTCTATTCAAGCCTCGTTTATTTTCCCAAACAAGCTGTGAACGTTGAGCTCGGGTCGAAAAGAGTCACTTTAGTGATTAAATATACTATTCCATTACTATGAGAAGTTTTGGAACGCCATAGCGAATCCAAAACTTCTCATCCCTTTTCCTGTTTTGGTACATAAAATATTGTTTTGCAGTCTGATACCGAGAGTAAAATTGTTATTTTAAGGGAAAATAACACTACGTTAGTCCCTAATAGACCCTATTAGTCAGCCAACCGACATAAAAAACCGATTTTGTGTAACTTTGTGTTAATTTAGTTAGAAAACATGCATTCATTATTTGCAATGTTGATTCTGCTTAGCAACATAACCTTGTAACTCAAAACTTTGTATCGTTGTTCAATCAACTCGTTTATTATATTTGTCGGGTCAAAATGAATTGTTTTTGTAGGATTGCTTTCATAGGATTGCATTTCGTAGGTTATGTTTGGAGAGAAATAGCGTCCCTACCACGATTCTAAAACTTGCAGTGTTGTCGCGAAGTACTACTACTATTTCTTGGTGCATACACGACGAGCACAGAGTAATCAAAAGTAGCAAATCGTTTTACAATACCAGGGTATAATAGTGGTATAAGCGGTGAGTTTCTAACTTCAGTATTTCTCCACCAAACACAATATCCCTGGGATTGCTGCGGCGCAAGCGAGCGCTTGTTTGCGCGCTGGTCATGCGGAAAGGTACACGTTTTCGCTCTTCCTCGCGCAAACACAGCTCTTTATTTGCGAACACTTGAACACCCGACCGATCCTACCGCTACTTATTGTAGTATACCCGACCGAGCCGTCACTCTACTCAAACGCTTCACTCTTCTCACCCACTATCAATCTTATTGTCATCACTACCTTAATTTGGAATTACTATTTTCAATCGCTACCGCTCTTTTTATATTATCCACCAATCTTCTAAATCACCACCGCCCTTCTTATTCTCCGCCACCTTTTTCATTATTCGTCACTCTTACTCTCTCTTAGCATCACTCTTCTCAATAACCGTTGTTTGAATGGCTGTTTTTAAACAAAAACTCTCTTTAGATTAATGTTTGCAATAGTTTTGGTGTAATATTTTGTGGTATCCATCAAATCTAAACTATTATGTTTGGCTCTCTACTCCTCGTATTATGTGTAAGTACGAGTGCGACAAAATATATTATTTGAATTGGTAAAATAATGTCATTTTGTAAATCCTTACCTCTAACAAAACTTTGTCAAAGGGCTATTTAATGTTTTGTGAGGTGAAAGTTAAATGCAATTTACCCTAAATAGAAGAAGGACAACGTTAAGTTGACTCCAGCGGTTTAAAGCGGGACATGACATGAAATTCGTGTCAATTACTTCGCTAAATGATATAATTCTTTCACCTGTAATTTGAATCAGAAAGTCACAGTGGTAATTTTTTACTTGAGTCCAAAACAAAAACATTCTATCAACAACGAAAATAATGACTGAAACCCGTGTAAATGAGAGTAAACATAGTTCAGACTCTTATAATCAATTGTATATATTTCAACGATATTGTCTCTAAAATTGAAATGTATTTAAACACATAAATACAAATCGCACACACAGTGTCACCTTTCAAATAATCACCCCTCTTTACGTCATCTTACGACACCATCACTGACTGATACACATCTCGACGCTGCTGTCACTCACATACTCAATATCATTTTAAACTTTCCCGTCACGCAGTTAAAGTGTGTTGTTAAATACTTGAGGGGTGAACAGTGAAGGAGTTTAAATTGCCAACGAGGCCAGGGGAGGTTCACGCACGAGTGAGAGTCACCCCCCGGACAAAAGCCCCCCTTCACCTCCCCCCTCATATGGGAAAGGCTACTCTGCCCTCAGCAGCTCAAAAGAAACACGTCGACACAAAATGCCCATCTCACGGATCATGAGGTCCTTGTCGCTATGTACGGTCGATATGTGTTTTTACGGATGGATGTAGCCACATCAGTCACGGTGTGAATGTGTGTAAAAGATCAAACAAGTATTGATGTTGAGATACAAACTTTGAAATATATATTTCGCAAGCTGTTTGAAGCTTTGCGTTGAATGGTCACAAGCTATGGTTGCACTGTGCCATGCTATGTTAGATGTATTTAGCCGTTGATAGCTTGACATATATTTTGCATTGATATACTCATCATCATCGGGTACTTCTCTGTGGGGTAATACACTCATCTAAGATTAAACATCCTTGTAGATAAACTAGATACAATGTTTAGGTAGGTTCCATAATGTAGGTTAATGTAGATGACGTTTTTTTGTAATATAATAAATTACAAACCTTTAAGTTAAATAATTTATCTGTCCTGTCGTCCGGAATATTGGCTGTAGTTAGGTAGTCCGGTTTTATTGAGAGTTCACAGTGTGAACCTAGAACATTGCGAAACTAGAAGAGCTATTGAAAAAAGAGCTACGTAATTTATTACGTGACATTTTACCATGATACCAATATTTTGCAGAGAGACTGAAACATGTAATGGTGATATGGTAAAGTTTCAAAACTGCTAGTTTCCAGCTTTATAAACCGTATATAGTGATAAAAGACTAATACAAATGTAGTCTACATTTGAAAATAATGCAAAAATTTAATTACTGTAAGGTGAAAATACCAAAAAAACCCAGATAAAGTAAACAAAATATTTTTAATAACCATTTCCACGAAACTTCGCAGATGAACATCAGCTAAATTCCTGACAAGAGTTTCATCCGCACAATTCAAATCACACCGACTGCGAAGCGATAAAGCTTAAAGCCGAGAAGGAAGACAAACTTTATAATAATTGGCTTTTCGTCGTGTCCTGCGAGTCGTGAGAATCGGACAAAGAGGGTGGCGAAGCGGCAACCACAACACAACTGGGGACTTCAAACAGCAAATTGAGTTGGTATTCGTGTTCAAAGTAAAGAACAATCGCCGCCGGCTACAATATGTGCGACGCCGTCGAGGTGACAAGACAAGAGGGTGGGGGGGGGGGGGTGATAAGCCGGCGGCCATGTTGTGATAACGAGTCTGCGAGATTGTGCCCGCGTGGCTCTGACAGCGCTTCTCGCTCCAGTTCGCTCCAGCGCGTCTTCTTGCACGTTTATCTCTCGTTTAATTACATTCGCCACAAAGCTGTAGAAGCGCCGCAGGTCTGTCGCCACAGGCTGCGCTGCGATCGCTTTCACAGTCAGTAATTGGCTCTCTCTACTTTTCCTTTCAAAGGGTATATTCCGAGTTTTGCTTTGTCTCGCTTCCGTTTCCAACTTTTGTTTCCTTTTCGACTTTGAGAGAGATAAATTGAAATAGAATTTTTTAAGCGAATACTCGTGACGTTTCAGTGGGCGAGGACTTAGGCATTCTTGAGCCTCGGATAGGGTCAGAATTTTGACAGGTTCTACTCAAGTTACGAGTATATACAGTATATCTGTGAATTACGAATTAACAACCTGGCGTCCGGAATAGGGGGTGTAGGTAGGAGTCTGTTCAGTGAGAGTTCACACTGTGAACCTAGAACATTGTCAAACTAGAAGTGTTATTGAAAAAGGAGTTAAAAGAACTAGTGGATCCACTTCATACATTTAGGCATGGTCAAGAATTTCAGGTTGATGTGGTCGAGGAAGTCACGAAGTTGCTTCGAAATGGTATGAGTAGCGTAGACGTTCGTGTTCAAGCAATTATGTAATACAATTAGCAAAATATATCATTCTAATTTGGAACATGGTGTATGAAAACGGCACAGTGAGATTTGATGAATGGTGCCTAATTTATAAAGCGTAGGTGTTGTAAATAGCTGTATCAAGTCATGTCAGGCCATTTTTCTTTGCTTTACCTTATTATAATAAGTGAAATAGAGTATGAAGTCAATTTTACTTACCGTACGTGCTTACACTAAGCATCATATATCAACATACAAAAAATATCACCTACAGTGGGATAACTGACACAATGTTTAATTAAAAAACTATTTAAATAGCGGGGAAAACACAACGGCGTGCCAATAATCCCCGAGCAGCGGCGCCGCCAAAATAAACAAGTGGTGTTAATATAGCAACCCCTCCCCCTCCTTTACACCAGCGGGTTTAATTTGAATATCGGCGCAAATAGGTTCTGTAGTGTCTCGAGTGTATCTGGTTTGTTTGGTTTTGTCTTGCAAATTTGTTTTGAAAAACAATGAGCTTTACATTTTAAATCATATTATTAATTTCAAGAGCTTTTGTACAGGATTTTGTTTTCATTTTCCTGGATAAATGTTTAGATTATATTATTATTATGCTGTCGGTGAAGGATGCGAATTTCAAGGTACTCTTGTCTGGGTGTTGAAGGAGATCATAGCTTTGTTACTGATCAACATGAGCTAGTTCTATACAGCCAGAAA